CCCCCCACTGGGGATGTGCCCGCAACCAAGGGCCATGCCCTTGACCGGAATCGAACCCGGGACCCTTCAGTCCGCAGGCCAACGCTCTATCCACTGGGCCACACAGGTTAGGGCCATTTATTTTTCTTAATGCAACTTTAGATTGCATTTAGATTCTGGGAACCTTTTTTTTTTTTTTATCAGGAAATACTAGTAAAGGTGATTAGAAAAATACTTTCATTTATTAAATGCTTGAGTGTATTTTAATTGACTGTTGCATGGAATGAACTGATATGCTTTGAATGTTTTATTTCTCCTGATGCTTAATCATGGAATACACTGTGATTCTTGGCAAACGTGCCAATGTCGGTCTTGAGTCCACTCTTGCCCCTGTGGTCTTGAGCATTGAAGCCATCAGATACCAGTCTTCTCCTCTACCCCAGGTCCTCCCGCTATTCCTACGTGGATGAGGACTGTGACTCGCTGGCCCTCTGTGATCCTATGCAGAGGGTGAATTGTGAAGTTGACAGCCTGCCTGAGAGCTGCTTCGACAGTGGCCTGTCCACCCTGAGAGATTCCAATGAGTACGACTCAGAGGTGGAATACAAACACCCGAGAGCATTTCCGAGGTCACATGGCATGCAGGAGAGCTCTGCTGGCGATGCTTCAGACACAGATGTAAGCCCTGGGAATCACTGCTCTCCTAGGGCCTAGGCCAGGGGTGGGCAAACTTTTTGACTTGAGGGCCACAATGGGTTCTCAAACTGGACCGGAGGGCCGGAACAAAGCATGGATGGAGTGTTTGTGTGAACTAATATAAATTCAAAGTAAACATCATTACATAAAAGGGTACGGTCTTTTTTTTTTTTTAGTTTTATTCATTTTAAACGGGCCGGATCCGGCCCGCGGGCCGTAGTTTGCCCACGGCTGGTCTAGGCTCATCCTCCATAGAGATCTGGCACCCTGTTTGACTTTAATCTGTCATGGAATCCATTTTAAAGGTTATAACTATGAAACATAGGTAGAATGGTTTTTTTTTTCCACTAATTTAAGGAGAAATCCTCATCGATTGACCTGTGGGGCACTCTGTTCCATAGCAGCATGGACTACACATTCAGCTGTATCTGTTTCTTCTCTTGAACCTATGATGCATATGTGTAATGAGAGGCGTTAACAGCTAACTTTTTTAAAAAATAGGTTCCTGATATAAGGGATGAAGAGACGTATGGTTCGGATGGTGTGGCTTCGGTCTTAGACTGGAAGCCCCCTGTTAGTGAAGGCAGCGTTGCTAGTTACCCAAGAAAGCCCATCTTGGCACTTTCACCCCAGGTAGGTGGTTCCTGAACACAAATAATTTTCTGTGTCTTGTAACTAGTTAGGAAGGAAACAGGCACCCTCTTTGTCACCCACTGTGTCTTTTCCCCCTAGACAGACATGGCGGATGAGAACAGGTCTTCCAGCTCACAGAAGGCTTACAAGATCGTGCTCGCGGGGGACGCCGCAGTGGGGAAGTCTAGTTTCCTCATGAGACTTTGCAAGAATGAATTTCGAGGAAATACAAGTGCCACACTGGGTATGATTCCTTTTTCAGGTTTTAATGGAGAAATGACTTTTTTAGCTTGGTTTTAGTTTCTTTAGGGGTTGTGTACACAGATACACAGGTCAGTCTCTCTCCCCATACATATAGATAGATGTGTGTGTGTCTTTGTCTATGGAATGGTCCTCTCCTGTTTTGGCGAAGGCCTAGCTTTAGGAAAGGGAGACTGACAAAGGACAGAGGTATCTACTTAGCAGTTGATGACAGGTTAGAGCTTAGAGCCTGAGAGGACAAGTTAATTTATTCAGCAAACATTTCCTGAGTCCTACTGTGAGCCAATTGCTGTTACAGGTGCTAAGGC